CTCACCAATGACGTCACACACAGAGGTCAGAGGTCAGAGCTCACCATGTGTTGCATACAGATGGAGATCTCGTTGTTGGGCAGCAAACGAGCCGTAGAACCCCACGATGTATGGGGAGTGGCACCCCATCGTGGAGACCTTCAGTTCCCATCATAATCTGGTTCCTCACCGCGGCTTGATGTCCGCATTATCATCATGGTGGCTAGTAGAAAAGAGAAGAAAGGGAGAGAGACAAAGTATGGGTGAGTTAATTCATTACTACTGCAGCGATTGTGTGGAGGTAATGGCCGCATACTGCAGCCACAGTGGCAGTGAGAGGCAACTGTCAGCAGAGCCAAAGAAAACCTTTTACTACACAATTGTCTGCTAACCACCTACCAATACATTTCTCTCTGCTTTTTTCATCATCCAACTCCCCACTCCCTCCTCACACTCCACACACACTCACACACACCGTCACAGTTATTCCTGACCTTCCGAGCCATGACGAGACCCGATGGAGAGTGTTCCACCTTCAAGACCACGCCTCCATTCCCAAACCCCAGTTCGTCCAGCCTTTCAAAGTGGAGGTCCCGCAGCTCTCCGTGGTTTATGATCTTTCTCTTCTGCTCCAGGAAATCCATCAGGTTCTTCCGCTGCTCCTCCGTCAGTTCGTCCATCCCCTCCACCGCCCGCACCTGCTGGTCTATCCTGCAGAGACGGAGACCATGCACGCTCTTTACCGCCTCTCGTGCTGTCGACAGAGATGTGGCAGAGAGAGGCTTCAACTTACTCTGCCACGCTGCCCACTCCGGAGATGAAACCACCATCAGTGCAGTCCGCGGCCTGCGACTCAGAGCCTCCGATACGGATGGGCGGCGGTTTCGACTTAGACTTCTTCCCCTCCGACATGCCTGTTCCTCTGCCGTGCTAGCTGCCTGTGTTGCCTGCTGTCTGAGCTCCAAGCGAGGAGATTCACAAGCGCCCAGTCGAGTCCGCGCTAAACTACGCCCCAAGTGGGCGGCTAACGTATTTACTACGGATCGGCGTGTGGGTGTGTACACGCGTGTTTCGGATAAAAGCTGCGAGAAGCTCAGGTCTGACATCTCCCTGCCGACTAGCCGACTCGCATCCGCTGCCTCTCCTACGACTGCCTGAACACAGAGATGTCGTTAGCTGGAGTCTACTTTATTCTTTTCCTAGCAGTTCTGGCTGGAGGTAGGCTTCATTTTTGTATCTGTTGATAGCTTATTCTACGGCGTAGCTAGGGTGGTCAATGTCATCACTTTCTGTGGCGTGGTATGACATGCGCATCACTCTTTTTCTGCACGTTTCGGCCTTTTTCCACTCCATAAAATCAACAGTGAGACAACAACAGAAGAGCCTTGCTCTGCGGCACGAGTAGGAGTGCAGTACATCCCCCGGACTGCATTCTCGCATTAGTTAGGGAAGCGCGCGAGCACCAAAGCCTGCTTGTTTACGAGCCTCCGGGTACCAAATAGATGTTCGTTAATGGATATTTCTAAGTATGTACAGATAAACTGGTACATTTCGTTGCAAGCAAGCGTTCATGATTAATCTTTCATTGGCATTCACTGCAGCATCTGCAGCCAAATTGTAATTGCAAGTACAAAATAAGAGTTTCAAGTGGCTGTGTGTTGAGCTATCAGGTCAAGGTAGAACTATAGACCTTGAACATGGTGTCACATTGATCTCTGCACCATTTGCAACCGATATTTCCCCTCCCTTCAAAATAAACGGGTGTCTGATTTCCCATGACAAATGCTGGCATGTCCTAAAACTGGGGGAAGCTAACAAGTTAGGATCACTAGCAGAACAAAGTTTATAACTTTGCACTGCAAAGTTTGAGGTCTCTCTGCAGTTGCAAGTTTTTATCACTGTGTGTGGCCCGACAGGTAAGACACTGCAGCTGTCTCTGTCACAGTATTCATCATCACTGCCATATTGACAGAGTGCTGCAGTCGTGAATATAGCTGGCAGGTCGACTTGATCACGAACACTTACTTATTGCTTGTCTCAGGGGAGGATGGGTGGACCTCATGTTAATCCCCCTACCCTATTCATGGCTTTTCTTAGTTTGTTTATCTGTACAGAGATTGAAATCATAGACACCCTCTTGCAATATCACTCTCTCTCCCTTTTCTTCCAGTTCACAGTGAGTCATGGACTGAAGAAACCTGTGACAGTAAGTACGAGGAATGCGAAGATCTCATGTCGGCTCCAGATCCGCTGGATGAAGAAGAGAGATGCTATCGCTACAACCAGACCATTCGCTGCTTCGATGTTTACTTTGAGGAAAACTGCATCGGGCAAGCACTCCTCGCCACATTTGCCAGGAACAGGACAATCAAAACAAAGTACTGCCCCGATTGCTCGTCTGAGCCTCTGGGAGACTGCATCGGGTCATTCTTCACTCCGGTTTCTACTCCCTCGCCTTCCGTGACAACGCCACCCCCCGGCTGCAGCTACAGCCCTCCTCTGCACCTCTTTCCCCCCTTCACCAGTCCTCCTCTCCCAGAACTGGGCTCCCCCTCTCTCTCCCACCTTCCCCTCTCCACCGAGTGCTCACTCCCTACCCACGAGACCCACTACAAGCAGCACTGCAGCATTTTCTCTCTCTCACATCTTCGTCCGTTCAGTGACCGAAGCCTCCCACTGCAGACATGTGTTCTGTACGGCAGTGTGTACCTAATCAAGCACAAGAATATGTCCGTATCTGTCAGTGGAGCCTTTAAGACTGGAACAGTTGGATATTACACTGACATAACTGAGGTAATGAGACTAACTTGATAGGTATATCATTACACCCTCCCCCTTCCCTCTTGCTGTTGCAACCTTATTGGAGCACTGCACAGGGGATCATTAACCTGCAATTGAATTCCTCTGCCAAACAGCATGTCTATACTTCGGCTCACTGGCTATAATTATGTGCATTCTTTACTGCATGTGCGAGACTAATCCAGACTCATAGCTAGAAGCTCCAGATTCTGATAACTAGAAACACTGTTTCCCCATGAATTGTATAGCTATGTAGAGGCTCCCTAACTGTATATATTCCAGTGGGAGGGTTACTTAGCTGACAAGCTTCATCTAAAGAATGTTGCGGGCCATATCTGAGAGGCAATGGTCCAAGGGTTCCATATAAACCTACGTACAGGCATGAATTGGAGGGAGTCTATGCATATATATACTTTCCAGTCCATTTCCCCTGGGTCCCCGTGTTGTTTTGGTGAGGAACAGAGGCAAGGGATTGATGTGTTGAATGTGGGATGAGGACGTGGGGCACCTGAAGGTGGGAACCAGATCCCAGATTTGCAGTACTCGAGTTTCAGTGATCATTCACTGCAGCAATGAAGACAGAGTGTAGAGCAGGTCTCTGGAGAATTACTCCTGGAAATATCTAGGTCTCCAACTTCTGAGGTCAGGGTGGGGTTTAATAGTGCCTTCCTGGAAAATTCTTTCACACACTCTGCTGTGGATCACAAATTTAATATGCTGACTGTTCACTGAAAACCACAGTCAATTCACACCTTCCCTGTAAATACACCAAAACACACCCCAAATCTTGAACATAAACCATAAGCCGTTGGTTTCCTCCCTCTCTTGACTCCAGGTCAACGTGACTTTGCACGGCTGTAGTCCTGGCAGCAGTTTCAACTACAGAGCAACAGTGACAGAGCTACCACAACCCCTCCCTTCTCCAGGTGTCCACGTATCTGTCAATAAGACAGTTGCCACCATTTCTGCACCAGGAATCAATGCCACTATCATCATCCACCAGATGGAGGGTCACCTATCAGTCTCACTTCAGGTGCCTGAGCCTCTCACACGACCCAATGAGGTCACGGGACTCTGCAGCGAGGGTTGCAGTCAGGGATTTCTCGTGGAGGACAGCGACCTAAGTCTTCCAGGTTACACTTGTCCGGGGAACCGAGCAGGTGCCTCGATCATGTGCCTCCGTCTGGGGCTGAGCGTGCCTCCTGTTGGCAGAGTCACATACAGTCAGCTCTGTCTGTATGACATTCTCATGACGCATGACGTCGTCAATCTACTGTCCCTGTATTCTGTCCTGGACGAGGACGTGCGTCTGCTGCCCGACGTCACGGAGATTATCATCATTCCAACTGACCCTACTCCTGAAACTACAGCTTCTTCAGAGAAACCGCAGGCAGTGTCCTCCGTTGTGATAATGCCACCAACAGACGAAGGACTTGCTTCACAATCTGTCTCCTCCGCACACCCCTTTTTCTCCCTAACCCTCCTCTCCCTACTCCTCTCACTCTTTATCAGATAGCAAACCATCTTCACATCAGAAAATTGGCCTATTTCACATCCATTCTCCTGAAATGTTCAACCTCCACATCCCTCCCCCTCATTTCCCCTCCGACTTCAATGTCTATTTATTCCAGATTTTCGTGTCTCGCCATTTTAGACCATTATATCTCTACTTTATGTCGCAGTGTGTGTAAACATTATTTTAACCATTTTGTCTTGATTTGCAATTGATTATGTAATTAATGCTCCATTATATCACTCAGAACATCTTGTATATATACCAAAATATAGTGACCAATCTGTCATAAGAACATATATTATTTGAGAAAAGTCAGTTGTGTAAGCGATGAACCAAACAGAGAGTTTCGCAACTTGCTACATGCGTCAGATATTGTGCGAAGGGGCAGTTGCCTTCAGTTTTGGTGCCGTAAAACCTGCTATACTGACAAGTAAGCTCCCCCTCTTCCCTCCCCGCTCCTGCAGTAGAGAAAGAGTTAAACAGTTTTCAGTACAATGTACTGTGCTGCTCACACTGTGTCAGAACTAACCTCTCCCACAAGAGCTATTTCTATCAAATCAACAAAAAGAACCGCGTCCCTTTACAGCAGGAAATTTAAGAAAATCGGACACAAAGTGCGTTGCCACCAAGAATGCAACACAGGGTGCAGGCTGTGCATGCGGGGGTGTGGGAGGTGGAGATGCCATACAAGGCCAGGAGAAGGTGCCGAGGAATGCTGGGAATGTTCTCAGCACACCTGCAATCTTCCATTCACAATCACACATTCCAATCAACGGCCTGATTAGATTAACCAGCCACCCACCTCTTCCTCCTCTCTCTCCACCACCGACAACTTCTGTGACGGTTTCCTGGCAGTTAGCACCTTTCTCTTCCGTCCCGGCCTGCCCCGCCCCCTCCCTCTTCTCCCCACCGATACCCCGTGACTTCGCTCCACCAGAGACTCAACAATTCTCTCTAACAATCGTCCTCCACCGTTCTTCTGCTGCTGCTCCCCAGCACCCTCCTGGCCCCTATCGTTAGTTTCAGTTTCAGTCACCTTGCCCCCATCGTTAGATTCAGTTTCAGTCCTCTGGCTACCTTCAGTAGAACTCTGGCTTCCTCCAATTACAGCCCCCTGGCCCCCATCGTTAGATTCAGTTTCAGTCCCCTTGCCCCCATCGTTATTAGTCTGTTTAACTTCAGTCACAGTATCGTCCTCAACGGATGAGTGGCCCCCAGTATTACTGTCAATCAGTTCACTGGGCGGCTCCAGTCCCTCACTGCCAGTATTGACGTCTCCGGTCTCAGTGTTCACTGCAGCCACAATGTTTGTTTCAACGCCACTCGTCTTGGCTGACAAATCTCCGTGCTGTGTCTCGCAGGGGACTTCTTGAGCAATCCTCTCTCCCTCCTCCACACCTCCACCAATTTCCCTGCTCTCCCCAGTCTCCCTGGAATCACCTGGAGGCGGAGGCGATGAACGGTTTTCAGATGTGGGGAACCAACTGGTCGACCAATTGCCCGATTGGACGGGGACAAACAGCGTTTGGAGACGAGGAGCGGAGCCTCTGGCACGAGATTGCGGCCTCCCTCTCTTCCCTCTGCCTCTCCCTCTCCTCCGGGCCACAGTTACAGTAGATGTCTCATCAGCCACTCCCGACTGGATCACCTGAGGCTCTGGTTGACTTAATTCCCCCATCACACCTCCTCCACCGTCTTCTCTGTCTGGCAGTGGTCTCTTCCTAGGCCTTCCTCTCTTCCTCCTCGGGGGCCTCGCTCTCCCGGTCTCCGTCTCTGGTCCAGAGCTGCTCATCAAACGTCCTGCAATGCTTCCATCACTTAAACTCTCGTCTCTTTTAATCGCCGGACGTCTTCTCATGCGTCCTCTGCCCCTCCCCCTCCCTCTACCCCTTTCCTTCCTCCTCTTGGCCGTGTTTCCCTTCAACTCCAAATCGGAATGATCCTCATCTTCCCTCTGCAAGTCGCCCTCGCTGTCTTCAGTCTCAAAGAAGAGCTTTGCCCTCTGTTTCCCTCTCCCTACTCGTTCCCACTCCATTTCAGATTCAGATTCCACTGTTTGTCCAACAAGTAAATGAACACCTTCAAAATGTTCGCTGTCGTCTAAACTGTCATCTCGTTCAACTCTTTCGGGCATTGGCCTCTTCCTAGGTCTCCCCCGTGGACGCCCAGTGCTTCGCGATCTACTTCTTCCTCTTCCTCTCTTCTGTTCCCTTCTCCCCCTTTGCCGCCCTCCCTCGCTCTGACTCAGCTGTGAGCTCGAAGAGAACTCAACCATCTCCCCCGTGGTTGTGGCAAACACTGTCACCTCTCGTGCCAGAATGAGATCGTCCTCAGAGCTCTCCGTCATTAACTGGTCCCCAGACACCAGTCGATCCTCTGCTCTCTGACTGGGTGCTGGGTTGTCTTCAGCTGCCTGGCTGGAGGTCTCTTCATCCCCCTGACTCACAGTGTCAGTCTCAACTTGAAGACCTCGGCCGGCATTGTGATCACCCTCCTCAAGTTGCTGCTGTTTTGAAAGTCGCTCATGGTTCAATGGCGGCACAGTACTTACTTCTTCTTCTCGGTCGCTATTTGATTGTGCTGCTTCCCTACGTAGCTGTTGGCCATTCTCTTGCTCCAAGCCCTGGTTGATTGGTGTGCTGTCCTCTGTGTGAAGTAGTTGGCTTGATGTTTGAATATCAGTTCCCTGTTCCTGGGTAGATGGTACATTGCCGATTGCTTCACCATCAAACCTTTGCCCTGAGAGCAAGATTGGTTGATTTTCTCCCTCAGTTGCCACATTGGATCCCTCCATTTCCATCTCAACTCCTTGCCTCTCCTGACGTTGGCCGTTAGAAACCAGACTATCTTCGACCAAGTGTTGCCCAGACCGTGTGTGGTGATCCTGGTCGGAAGACAGACGATTGTGTTGCTCCAGATCTCCCCTCTGAGTCTCTAGCTCTGTACTAATAACCGTTTTCTTGGTTGGCTGCGAGATTGTAACCGCCACCTTTATCTGCTTCTCGTTTCGTTTCTTAGGAGTGGTGCCATTGAAATTGCTGGCTTCTTTGGTCGAACGTCGGGCCTTTTCTGTGTGTGTTACTGCAGTTGGAGGGTCAGTGGACCCACCTGAAGACAGCTCTGGAGGGCCAGGAGGGTCTGATACCCCACCGTCTTCCTCTCCACTAGTGGTATCAGGTCTTATGTCACTGACTTCTGCCAGTTCTGGAGCCAGCATCAGCAGAGATGTGGAGGCAGAGGAGTCCGTGATGGTAATGTGGAGAGGAGGAGGGGCAGGGGGGAGGTCTAGGGGAGGGTGAGCTGTGCGTGTAACTCGGTCTTGAGGTGCGAATTCTCGATGTCGTGTGGCAACTGCCTGCAGCTGATTCCTCAGCTCCTGGACCTCTTCACGCCACGTCGTCTGTTAGAGAGAGAGGAAGAGAGTAAGTCACGTGAGAGAGATTAGGACCAGAGCGAACCTTCATTTCGGCCAAGTCCACCTCCATGTCGTCCACACGGCGAGACAGGGTCCGTCGCTTGTCCGCCTCCACCTCAAGTAATTCTCCCATCAGGAAGGCGTGGATCCTCCGCAGGGACACGGACGAGGTCCGCACGGCCTGACACGACTCCCAGAATGCCGTCTCAAGCCTCGCCAGCTTCAGTTCCTTCACCAGTCGCTCGCCAACCATCTCCATAGTTAGTTGAGACCGTTAACAAACCACAGAAGGCGCGCCTTTCCCGCGTACTAAGGTCGAAGGTCATGAATTACGATCATCGGTCGAGTTTTCGGGAATTTCTGCGTCTTCTGCCGTTCGAGTGAGTTATTTTAGCCATTGTTTCCAAGTCTCCCCTCCACTTGACGAGTCCTCAGTTGTGGCTCCGTCTCAGAGCGCCCCGAAATTCCGCTGCAATTTTCCGGCCGGTTTTGATGGGCATTATTTAGAACAATTTTCCGCAGCTGATGGACAGCGTCTCCAGCTCGTCGGAAGACAGCAGCAACTCCAAGCCACACCAAGGGGGCGGGGTCTCGGGGGGCGAGGAGACGGAGGGGGTTTATTTTCCACCTCACTTCCCTCAGCAAGGAAGACGGGGCAGCGGTGGGTCTGAGTTCTCCCCTCAGACTGATGATAGCTCCGAGGAGGATAGTAGTGAGGATGATGACAGCCGTCAGAGCCCCACCCAACCTGTCCCCATCCGAACTTATGCTCCGCCCACCAACTTCAGTACAAACGACAGTACAACAGGAACGGTATCGGGACAGGGTTCTCGGCACGGCTCCATTCCATACCAGAGTGTCCCCATTCGGCGTCGCCTGGTGAACTACAAGCAGTTCTACAATGAGAGAGACAGCACCGGGACGGAGGAGGAAGAGGAGGAAGAGGAGGTGGGGTGGAGGACAGGTAGAAGAAAGGTGAGATGTTAGTTTCCGTCCTTGCAATTTCCACAACAAAAGAGCCATTTATGAAACTTAAAACAGAGAGCATTCAGTTAGTTGTTGCATTATTGTTGAGTCAAGTATTTGATCATATGTCCATCAGAGTGAGGACAGTGAGTTTGAGCTGTCGGATGGAGAGGAAGAAGAAGACAGTTTCTCCGAGACGGGGGAGGAGAGTTCGGAGTGGGAGGATCCTGGGCGGGGACGGAGCCAGTCATCCAGGGGGGTGTGGCCTGTGTCTGACAGCGACAGTGACTACAGACCTGGTGTGGGGAGGGGGAAGAGGAGAGGGAGGAAGAGACAGCCAATGAAAAACCACTGGAGCGAGTGAGGAACTCTACACATAGCTAGTCATAATAGCCCATTGCGTTAAAGTAACAGTGTCACAAACAAGAAATTATCAATCGCTTGAAAATCATGCAACTGTCTGTCTGTCTGTCTGTCTGCCTCAGAGCCAATTACGACTATTCTGTGAAGGAGGCAGAGGCAACTAGTGACACTGACTCTGAATTTGAGCCTGGAACAAGGAGGAAGAGGACAGGGCAGGGGGCCAGGAGATCACCTGATTTCGCACGGGCAACGACTGGTCGTAAAAGGGGTGTGGTCTCATACAAGGAGTCGTCTCACTCGGAGGTGAGTGAGGGTGAGATTGGTGAGGGGGGAGGAGGGGAGGGGGCTGAGGAAGACGGAAGAGATGGACTTGAGAGAGTGGCTCGGAGCAGATCTCGACCTGGTGAGTGGAACACCATTATCACACATTAAGGCAGCAAGACAACTTTGCATGTCCCAAAGTACTAAATTTAAAAAAACATATTTCGTGGACAGCTAGAAATTCGCAAGCATTTTCCCTGTCTGGAAATTTCGCACTCTCTATTATGGTGGAAGCATTCCGAGCCACCTGTCAGACTGTGTGTCACTGTGCCACAATAGGTGCAGGAGATGTAATGACATCAGTGATGGAGGAGGGGGAGGGAGTGACTGAATACCTGATAAAGTGGAAAGGGAAATCGTACATGCACAGCAGCTGGCACACAGGTACATACATACATACTGTACATGTCACCTCTGTTCCTGCGAACCTCGCACTCCAATTTATCATCTTACCTGAAACTCATTTCATGCTTTGACACCTTGTTTCTCTAAAATATTTGATGGCAACATGTGTTTTAAGCTTTTTTTTGCCCTCCGTTCAGAGTCAGAGCTGCGGAGTATGGACATCAGGGGACTGAAGAAACTAGACAACTATCTCCGTCGGCAGGAGGAGATGTCGCAATGGGAGGCCGGCGCAAACGCAGAGGACATCGAGTTCTTCCGTTGCCAGGAGCAACTGCAGGAGCAGCTGCTGACTCAGCACACCCAGGTCGAGAGGGTCATTGGTGAGTCACTGAATGATGTCATTTGATATACCATCTTAATTAGTACTTAAACTTACAGTATGTAGTACTTAAACTCTGGACACACTGTATACCAAGAATCACGATTATGATGTGATTATTATGAAGAAGAACGTCCTCTCCTCGCCAGGTGCCAGGAACGGGGGGGAGGGGCAGCAGGAGTACCTGTGTAAGTGGAGAGGACTCCCTTACAGCGAGGCCACTTGGGAGCCAAACTCCCTCATCGACACCTCATTCCAGCCCCAGATTGACGCCTTCCTGGAGAGAAACAACTCAGACTGTATCCCCGGCAGGAATTTGAAAGTTCTTCGGGCGCGACCTCGCTTCCAGGTGTGGGGACAATCTTGTAGCTGTGTTCGTGTTTCACCGCAGACATACCTCCGCGAGCTCCGATGTCGGGTGGTTTAACCTCTTGCTAATGGAATAAAGGGGTTAATTAATGACACGCAGCTGTTGCATGGGGTTATCTCAATCGGCCATCTGTTATCGTAGACAAGTCATTTTCTGGTCAATTCCTCAACAATAATAAGTAAACTAACCACAATTAGCTGCAGAATGTGTTAGTATGCAACGTCCTCATGCCTTGGGCAATACAATCCTCTTGTCCCCTTGTGTCTTACTCCAGTTTCAACCTTTGCTAACGTAGGAAATTTGTTACAAATTTTTGCACATGTGCATCGACTGATAGTCGTGTGTTGTTTGTGATACGATGTTTGCAGGTGTTGAAGGAGCAGCCGCCAACCCTGGGGCGAAGGGTAGGAGGAGAGAGAGGAGGAGGAGGGAGAGGAGGGTTAATTCTCAGAGACTACCAACTAGATGGTGTCAACTGGCTGGCTCATTCCTGGGCCAAGTGAGCAGCGTGTGTGTGTGGGGGGTAGGAGGTGTAATTACCAGCTGATGATACCAACATTGCTGTTTCTCCTCTCTCATCTCCTCTCTCATTCCCAATGTGTTGTCTCTGTATAAGGAACAACTCGGTCATACTGGCAGATGAGATGGGACTGGGGAAGACCATTCAGACCATCACGTTCCTCCACTACCTCTCCCACTACCACCAGCTGTACGGACCGTTCCTTGTGGTCGTACCACTCTCGACCATGCCAGCATGGCACCGCGAGTTTGAGCTGTGGGCGCCAGACCATAACCTAGTGGTCTACATTGGCGACGTCGTCAGTAGACAAAAGGTTTCGACAAATCTCTATTTTCTCCGAGGCTTGTTCAAAACTCTTTAAGTCTTGTCAGTATTTAAAACAGTGTGTGTTACTCTTTGTTGCATAACTGGGTCTTGTGCATAAATCTGCACTATTGTCTATTTTGTAGTAAAGAAAGACTGTACGTTGTTTGCTTGTCCTATCTCCTATCTCCTATCGTGTATCAGGATTGCCTTACTTGCTTTCTTCTCTGTTTTATCACTCCTACAATACCGTATTACATCATTATTACATCACAGATCAGAGAGTACGAATGGTGTCATCCGAACAAGAGACTCAAGTTTAACTCCATCCTCACTACATACGAGATCCTGCTGAAGGACAAGCAGTTCCTTGGTGCCATCAGCTGGGCGGTGCTGGTGGTCGACGAGGCACATAGACTCAAGAACGATGACTCTCTCCTCTACAGAACCCTCACCGAGTTCAGGACTAACCACCGCCTACTTATCACCGGGACGCCTCTCCAGGTGGGGAGACTCCTGTAATTAGTCCCTTTAATTAAAACATTTTCCATTCTGCGGGACTTTCCGGTGAATGTTTAATGAAGCTCTCTCTCTCTCTCTCTCCCTCTCTCTCTCCCTCTCCCTGCAGAACTCACTCAAGGAACTGTGGTCTCTACTCCATTTCATAATGCCAGGGACATTCCCTGACTGGGAGGGATTCGAGGAGGTCCATAGGGCCTATGGGGAGGGTGACACCCACTCCCTCTCCTCCCTCCACCAGCAGCTACAACCCTTCCTCCTGCGCCGCATGAAGAAAGACGTGGAGAAGAGTCTCCCGGCCAAGGTCCCATTCCCATTCTTCCATTCCGTGGTAATCTCACGTCTCATGTCACTCGCAGGTGGAGCAGATTCTGAGGGTGGACATGTCCTCTGCCCAGAAACAGTACTACAGGTGAACGGCTGTTGGTATCTATATGTGCTGTGTGTAAGCTTGTACATAACTGTGCTAAATTGACTGTGACCTTATGTCATCATATCCATGTAGAAAGTGAGCTAGAGCTTGCAGATACTGAAACCTGGTAGTAGACTGTGACCTCGTGTTATTATCATCATCACAGTCATAAGTCTATGTGTTGGATTGTGTGACAGGTGGATATTGGCACGGAACTACGCAGCCCTCAGTAAGGGGGTCAAAGGTAGCATCACGGGATTCATCAACATCATGATGGAGTTGAAGAAATGCTGCAACCATACGTGGATAGTGAGGTCTCCTGACGTGTTCCCCTCCCAGCCCAGCGAGAGAGTTCAGGTCTTTATTTCTGCCCCTTCAAAACTCCTCAACAACAATCAGGATTTCAAGCATTTTTCATTAATGAAGGCACATGGAATAGCAACACTCATGCCCACCTCTCTCTTCTCTCTCTACTCTCTCTCTCTCTCTCTCTCTCCTCTCTCTCTCTCTCTCTCTCTCCTCTCTCTCTCTCTCCATATCGCAGTCGCTCCTGAGAGGCAGTGGGAAGCTATTTCTGCTGGACAAACTGCTGACGCGGCTCCACGCAGGCGGACATCGCGTCCTCATTTTCTCCCAGATGGTCCGCATGCTCGACATTCTGGCCGAGTACATGCAGCTGAAACACTACCTCTACCAGGTGGGTGTGGCTGGGGGTGTGGTCTCATGTACTAATAATTATGTAATGCAGAAAACTGTTTTGTGTATGTACGAAGTGATGTTGAAAATTACAATAATGACACCAATAAGAAAAAAGGAATCTCTAGCTCCAAAAGCATGGTTATAAAGGTAACCAAACGTAGTCACGAGAATGAATGACTCCGCCCCCAGAGACTGGACGGCTCCATCAAGGGGGACGTAAGGAAGGAAGCCATTGACCATTTCAACGCAGAGGGATCTCTGGACTTCTGTTTCCTCTTGTCGACGAGGGCAGGTGGACTGGGGGTGAACTTGGCGACGGCCGACACCGTGGTGATATTTGACTCCGACTGGAACCCCCAGAACGACTTGCAGGCTCAGGCCCGGGCCCACCGCATCGGTCAGAAGAAACAGGTGAAGAAAACGAGAGTTGGCGTGTTGGTTGGGAGACATGTTGAGCAGAACAACTTGTACAGTCGGTAAATTAGGATCTCTCAGAGAGACAACTCCTGTGGTGCATACACCTCACCTACTGCATAAGTCCTAAAAGACTCACAGACTTATGGAGCCATTGGGTTGGTATGTAGTTATTAGTTTTGTGCAAAAGATGAAGAACGGAACATTATATTTAAACCATCATTTCTCGACTATACATTCACTCAATTGAGGATCCTTCTTGTCTTTGATGTTTAACATAGTTAGTAGCCTCTAATCTATTACATCACAATGTACTCACTCCCAATTTCTCAGGTGAACATCTACCGACTGGTGACCAGTAACAGTATTGAGCAGGACATCGTGGAGAGGGCCAAGAGGAAGATGGTGTTGGATCACCTGGTCATCCAGAGAATGGACACCACGGGACGCACTGTTCTCTCTACCGAGCCTGCCAGGTTAACCACACCCCTGCCACACCCACAATCCTATGTATGGAGGTAGAAGCCTGACCTGTCGTCTTCTGTGTAGGGCTAATATTCCATTTGACAAAGAGGAACTCAGTGCCATACTGAAGTTTGGGGCGGCAGAGTTGTTCAGTGAGGGGGGAGGGGGAGAGGGGGGAGGGGACCAGGCTCTCCAGGAAATGGATATCGACGATATTCTGCAGCGAGCAGAGACACAAGTGGCCACTGAGGACACCTGCACCGTGGCCGATGAACTGCTCTCTCAGGTGACTGTCATGTGATTGTCACATGACTCATACACAAGCATCGTTTTCCCCAATATTTAATATTCCCGTGATTCATTTTTAGTTTAAAGTTGCTACTTTTGCTCTGGACGAGGAAGTGGGTGGGGCTAATGTCCCTCCAGCCACACCCACTGAGGAGAAGGCACTGCTGCTAAGCCCCACCCCCCAGTCGGAGAAAAGGAGGCGTGGTCGGGGGACAGAGCAGCGAGGGTGGGAGGAGATAATCCCAGCGGAGCTGCTACAGGAGGTGGAGGAAGAGGAGAAGCAGAGGGAGGAGCTCCAGTTGTACCTTCCTCCCCGACAGAGGACTGTGCAGGTATATATACTGGTCTCTCGCTGGCCACACCCTCTCTTGTGGGGGTGTGCATTTAGTGCTCTTTCAGCCCACCTGCAGATTTCCATTGTTAAAGAGTGAAAAAGTTGACTGAAACCTATTTCCTCTCAATGTTGCTGTCACAGAATTACTGTGAGGACCAGCAGACGTCTACGACGAGAAGCAGCAATGGTGGACGAAGCCGCAGAGCTGCCAGGGGAGGGGGCGGAGCCAGAGATCGGGCGGGAGGGAGGAAGAGGAGAGGGGGAGATGAAGGGGATGGTAAGGCAGAGAGCAACGACAATTCAAGTGTAGTTCGAAAGAACGTGAGAGGATTCACCAACTCTGAGATCAAGAGGTACTATATACAACATATACACACCATAATACATAGTTATTAGTCATGGTAGTATTGTGGTATATTGTCAGGGGTGCCATATTTTGTATGATACTCCAAAAGTACGAGAATTGTTTGGCAGCATGTGAATGCAATGCATGTACGATTAATATTTCTGGGGTATGAACTGGTGCGCAACTTTTCAAGGAGGAACTTATCCCTCTAGGTTCATCCGTAGCTACCTGAGGTTTGCGCCACCCAACTCTCGGCTGGAGGAGGTGGCTAGTGACGCTGGCCTGCAGGAGAAGAGTCTGTCTGAGCTCCAGAGACTGGCCGACACCCTCAGTGACGGCGTGGACCTGGCTGAGCGGGAACACAACTCCAGGTCTGTCGGTGGGGGGGGGGTGTTATTGTTCAACATTTGCTGTATGCTGTGTTGCTGTTGAGAGGGAATTAAAAACTATTGGCCTCTTACTTTGGCACCAGTTCCTCAATCCAGCGGTGTTTGTGGTGAATTATCCGTTTTTCACTCCTTTTGCAAAATTTTCTACCAAATATTTCGCCCACTGGGTGCAATGAAAATGTAATTCTGCCCTAATTAACCCACCACTGGGTGTGTCTTGTTATACTGGCAGGTCTGAAGGAGAGAGGGGAGAGAAGGGTCCAGTTCTGCAGCTATCCAGAGTCTCTGTGCCTGTCTCGTCGTTCAAGGCCAGACTGGAGGAGCTGCAGGCTCTGGCTGACTGTCTGCCTGCCAGTCAGGATGCCAGGAAGAAGTACAGGATGGTGACGAGAGCCAAGCCAGTCACCTGGCCCAGGGTGCGATGGTCTCCGGTTGACGACTCCAGACTGCTGGTCGGCATCCTGAAACACGGCATTGGGAACTGGGACAGTATTCGGGACGACCCGGATTTAAATATGGGCAAAAAGGTGGGTGACCCGTACCATGATACCTCACTGTGTGACTCTGTATGCTCAGATATTGCTGGAAGACAAGTCGCGCAAGCCGCAGGCCTCTCATCTCCTCACCAGAGTGGAGTACCTCCTGAAATTACTGGTGACTGAGACACAAACCACCAGACAAAAGGTATAGCGTCTGCACAGCCAGCTCCTGCCTCAGGTCTTGCCTGGTGTATATATGTAGGGAGGAAGAGGAGGGAGGAAGGGAGCAGCTGCTGCTAAACCAGTTCACCGAACAGCTACCCGAACAAGAAAACCGGTTTCAAAATCTGTCAAACCTCCTCCGAGAACTAGTCAGGTGCCTCCGACCTCTCTCACCGTTCAAATCCCTCGCGACCTACTAGCCCAGTGTCCTGAAGGAGTGGTCGGAGACATTCAGGACAGAAAGACCAAGAGACCTGTCCTACAGGACAAGGTTCCTCCTATTAAGATGGCAAAGATGGACCCGGGAAGGGGGCGTGGCAGCTCGTTCAGCGAGGAAGACTGGGAGGAAAGAGAACTGGACGAGGAAGTATTCAAAAAGGTATGACGTAACTATGACATTGTTGTGCTGACATCATGATTGGCTATAAATAGAGCAAGCAGGTGATGCGGCCGGTGAAGCGGAGTCTGATGGACCTGAACACGGAGAGTACGGGGGAAGGGGAGAGTTTTAAGAAAGCGGTGGTGGAGATTGGGGAACACATCTCCTCCAGTCTGACACAGTGGGCTCGTTCTGACGACAGGAAGCTATGGAGGAGGTGAATATTGTATAGAACCCTAGTTAGAACCCCTTTATCATTATCAGCCAACATGAAATGCTTTTGTTTTAGATTTTGTAGCTGTTTTTTTCGTGGGGAAATCTTGCACCAATAGAAGCCTAATACGTATATAGCAGGGGTATCTTTTTCCTGTGAATAGAGACAGGGAAATTTGGCCCATTTTTAGTTTAGCCCTCTCTCATATGCTACAGGAATTTGTGGGTGTTTGTGTCCAAGTTCTCCAGAGGCAGTGCCCATGACATCCACAGACTCTACCTCCGACTAAAGTCTGACCAGTCGGCCCTCAAGAAGGTGAGCCAGCGACACAAACAGCTCTGCCTCTGACGACCTACCGAGGAAAACCCCTGAAAATGAATAAGAATAAGACCCCCAAATAAAGGACACCTCTCTATATAGGACACTGTGGTTCTGCCCCACACTAATGTATTACATTATTACCAAATGAGGGCACCCTTGATAATAGGACACTTTCAAGGTTTCCCATATTCAGTTTCTCCTAACATATTTCTTCACAGTCTGCTGCTCCCATCAAGAAACGATACATGCCAACCACAGACTCCTCCCATGACACACCCAGACCTAGGTTAGCCACACCCACTGACACACCCCTAAATTCACCCACAAATCCTGCCCCCCAGAGAGAATTTTGACCCCGGATACAGACCCCCCAGTGACAGCAATCCTGCCCACGGAAAGGCCAGAAAATAGTTATCGACACTTTTTCAATTTTCTCTGACTGCTCTGATCAGGTTTCATTCACACACACTTCTATTTATAAGTGAAATGTTCTTGCGCATGCGTATTTGTGAGTGCAAAGCACACAGCATGCAGGATGTCGTCGACAGGTGTGAGTACGTTGTTTGCCTTGCTAGTGACGCTCTGCGGGGCTGCAGACCTGTCGGAGAGGGAAGGGTCGGGCTCGGAGAGCGGTAGCGGGGACTCGAGCGACTCCTCAGAGCCGGTGCTAAGCGCAGAGGCCATCGCCAACATAGCGGCGTCTGCAGCTGCAGTGGCCGTGCTGGGCGGAGCCATGTGCTATCTCCTGATGTGTTTCAACAAGCAGGAGCGAATTGAGCGAGTTCGAGCGGCGCAGGAGAGAAACAGGCAGATATCTAGAAGGCTGGAGACCGCCAAACTGGCAAAGAAGGAGAAGCAACAGACGCATTCAGCCGCAGAGCGGCAGGCAGAGATGGGGAGTCACGGGGAGGAAGGCGGAGCTGCGGGAAGTCTGCTCTTCAGCGCAGTACACCGTTCTCACCTAGAGGATGACGACGGTACGTCACGTGATCCCTCCCAACCCCTAGTAACTCAGTCTCCAACCAGCAAACGGCCATTGACGTGATTATAGCACAAGTTTTTATATTTTTACTGATTCCAACCTAATTTTATCAATGAAAAAATTTGAGTTTCTTTAACTACATCTACTACAGTTCCTGATGGGAATCAGGTTTTGGGGTATCGGGGTGAGAGACTGGAGTACCCGGAGTAGGAGGTGGGGGACAGACGGCTGGAGTAACAAACTCCATTGCGTACTCACACCTGTTTGGTTCAGAGGCAGCTAGGACGGCTTCCTCTAGACCACACCCCACAGTGACCTTAGTTGACCTCTTCGGTCCGTTCCAGCAACCCTCTCCGTTCTCAAACAACATGCTGGAATATCTGCTGCCCTCGGGCCCGTTCCAAGACACCCATGTCCCGAGACTAGTCTCGCGTCCTCCGTTCTTTGGCTTCTGGACGACCTTGTCGAAGGCACACAGTCTGTACGTGTACTCTCTGTCAGTATACTCATAGCACTGCTGGTGGAGAGGGGCAAACTCCATCGCTGAGCCGAGGTCCACATCGAGAAACTTTTCAATATCACCGACTTCTCTGTTTATGTCTCCGAGTTCCCTCTCCACCTTCTGGAATGCCTCTCTTGCTGAGTCAGCAGCTTTGATCAGTTCCTGGGTGTCATCAGGATAAGGTGGCATCCCTTCTTCTCCTCTCTCCTCGTCCTTGTAATCTGCATCTTCTTCATCTTTGGAGAGAGATAAAGAAGGTGAAGCTGCTGTGATAGAGATACATGTTCACTGACCGTAGTCGTAATCCTCCTCATAGTCCTTCTCCCCCGTGTCGTCAGTGGGCGGAGCATCGGTTTGAATGGGCAGGGCAGTTGGGGGTTCGGTCTCAGCAGGTTCAAAGGTTATCTTATCCGACACGAAAGACCACACGCTGTCTTTGAAGACGGTTTCGTCGACTCTCTCTTCATTGTCCAGATAAGCTAGGGCCTCCTCCAGAGACACCTAATGAGACAAGCATTGGAGTTTTTCTAAAGTGCTATAATATATACCTATTATAGAAAGCTAGATGAACCACACACATCCTCAATCACTTAGCAGTAATTTAAAAAACGTGTGTTAGCATTATTCATGCACACTACACTGAGGGGAGTTTGGTCTTTCATCCAGATTGGGAAACGTTCCTCACCTCTCCGTCCTGGTCGTCGTCAAGCTCCATTCTCTGCTGGATCTCGGCCACCGTCACGTAGCCATCGCTGTCAGTGTCCAACTGCTCAAACGCTGCCCTGGCCTCCGCTTCCTTCGCTGGCCTCTTTCCTAGCGGCTTCCTCCTCTTCCCATTTCTACACACACACACACACACGTTAGTTTAGATACAAGAGCTTAAAATCAGTGTAAACAATAACAAATTTGACCCGAGCGCAACTTCCAATCCAAAAATGAAAAACGGAGACCCAAAGACAGACCTTCTCATGTTCCTCCTTGGCCAGTCTCTCTGGTTCCTCTGCTGCCTCCTTGTCTCCCCTCAGTCGATCGACCTCCTCCTTCAGCCTCTCCTGCTCAGTCTTCAGCTCGTCCAGACGGACAAACCTTATCCTCTCTCTAGACCATCAATAGTTAGGGCAGAGGAAAGAGAAAGAGTGAATGTGTTCTTGTGTGATATCTGGTACGTGTGTGTATATAGGAGAGTGTTTACAGATGTGTGTCTGTGTGTTAGCTCACAGAGCGTATTCCCTGCTGTTCATACTGGACCCTCTTCTGGTACCCCTCAGCAAACATGGCCTCTCTCTCCTTCCTCTCTGCCTCCGCCTTCCTCCCCAGCTCCTCAGCAGAAGTCCCCACACTCCACCTCTACCCACCACTCATCACTCCCATCGCAACAGTCACAGATACCTAGCACAGTGTGTGTGTAATTATCCCACTGTACTGATCAACATGTCTTGGGGTTGATATGACTACCGAGCTTTTCAGACACGGGCACCACATATGGAGAATCACCCGCAAAACGAAGCATCTATCGCAGAAAGCTTCTGAAAAAAGCATCCACAGAACAGATGGAGAATCCATAGAAGAACTGATAATCCACTGCCAAACGTTTCTGATGAAACGTGTGGTATCAACCTCTCCTCACCATCATTGACTCGTGAGGAGAGGATCGTCTCCGGACGATGTCCGACATTCCGGCAGTAGAATCCTCCTGTAGGGCAGGCTGCCGTCCCCGGCTCGTCTGACCCGTCCTCGCAGTCACAGTAGTCGTCGTTCACTACGGGAAGGGATCACGTGACGGTGCTGTAGTTGGAGATGCAACGAACCCATGGAGAAAGAGATGGTGTCGGAGCCGTCCAGACAGGTGAAGTCTTTGCCGGGATGGTAGCGAGGCTTGTGCCGAGGGTCCAGCCCGCGGACCTCGTACTCACGTCCGCCACACTCCACCGAGGAGACGGCCAGCAACGACAGCACTGCCACACACACAACCACTGCCATTTCTGAACCCACGAGCGTACCCAATGCGCATGCGCAAGTCACTCCCCTGAGAATCTCAGAAAAAATACATACACTATTGTAAATACGTACACAACAACGAGTTTCAAAGTAAATATGTCAGTTTTCCCAGCTTCTGATTCAATGTTCGCTATTCCGGCGTCCCCTCAGCAGCCACACGAGGTCTCTTAGCATCGGGCTCAGCGATTGTCTCGTTCCCTGTCTTGTCTCCCTCCTCTGGCCTCACCTTCTCCCCGGCGGTGGCTGGCTCTCTCTTGGCCCCAGGAAGAGGCAGAGGGTCCACACCCAACACAAGGTGGGCCTTCCCAAATGCTACCAGCCTCAGAGCATGCTGTGGGAGAGTGCACATACATACAGTGCTCTTACTTCAACCAATACGTGCAACAAACCCTCATTGTTTCACCTGAGCACTGAGTGTTATGTTGACTCGCTCTTGAGCGGAGAGAGACGAGGCATCGGCTACGCCTTTCTCACATGGGTCCTGAAGACCACTCCCACCTAACACGAGAACATTGACAATGATACAGAGGGTTGCAGAGGTGTGCTAGTGAAGAAAGGGACCCTCTGAACAAGGGTCACCTCTGTGCGTAGGAACCGGTTTTGCCAATACAAGAGACACGTCTGAAAAAAGGACACTTGTGCCACTTATTCAGAGATTTCGCTGTGTGAATGTGTGCAAGGAAGGCTGACCAGGAAGGAATATTCCGGACGCCACACACTCCATTACACGTCGGAACACGTCGCCAGGTCTGGTGTAGTCAGGATTGGCACTCGTCAGACTCTTCTGCACCAGCAGCTCCAGAATCTGAGAGAGCAGGTGGGAGGGGGGTTAACTGCTGTCACAGGAGTGAGAGTGCGATTATGAATATTTCACATCACTACAATCTTCAAGGTCACAGCATGATGACTTACCCAGGAGTTAAGCACGCCCCAGGCAGGGACACGGCGACAGATATCTTTCAACACCCTCATCAAAATACTGCAGGACGGCAGGCCCTGGGCCACCATCTGAGGTCGGGATGAAAACATGGAGTCACGGGGAAAAGTATGAGTATTCCGAAAATATTTTTTTCTTTTGGACAAAGTTTCCTAAATTGATGCTCAAAACAAAACACCATCATCGGTGAATTTTGGTAGAGGCCAAAAGAGAGTGTGATTTGCAGTGAATCATTTTTGTGTGTGTCGAGTGCTATTAGCTGGAAACACACACACAGACACCATACCACTCCCCAGTGAACTTCCCATCACGGTCTATTGTGCAATTGGTGATATGGGAGACCAGCTAGCTGGAGAGCCATTTGCACAATAAACTGATGATCAGTAGTTCTCCCTCCTTCACGGTAGTCTCGTGAGCTAAGAGCCCATGGGCTCTTAAAGGAGTTTTAAGTGCCCACGGGCTCTTGTGTCAGTAGGTGGGCGGAGTGTACAGAGTTGAGGTCGGAGGTTATCGCGAACCTGGAACCATTTCGTGTGGCGCAGAGCCGCTAGGGCTGCCAAACACGACGGCCGGTGGAGCACTCCTGCCTCCTGGTCAGCTGAAGGGGGCGGGGCACATATAGTCTAGTTTAATTACAGGGCCACTGCGAGAAATCCCCACTGTATATTAGCAGGGGCGGTGTTTATTATCATGATGCCAACAATGACAACACATTATGTGTGGCTCTCTGGCCTTTGGCTTGGAGTATGGAGTAAGGTATGGAGTACGGTACAATAGTATGGGGTATAGAAGTATGGAGTGTGTGGAATGCATGGTATGGAGTATGAGGAATGCAGGTATGGGGTATGGAGAATAGAATGGAGATGCGTACCAAGGATCAGTTCCGGGGAGGGCTTGTCTCTCATCTCGGTGGAGGTCAGGGTGAGAGTGACTTGTACCCTGTGGTCCTCTACCTGGGAGATGACCAAGATGGCCGCACTTCCCACCTCCTGGCTCACGTTGTACACCACTTCACTGGACAGCTCCTGCCAGGCAGTCCACAGGTGAGGAGAAGACAGAGAGGCAAACGAGACGAGAGAAGGACGGGAGGAGAGTTAAAAAGATGAGCATTAAATGGAATTGGTAAGAGGTATATTTTACTGACTTCGAACTTGGCTGGCATGCGGCGAGCAATGTCATGGAACAGTGCAGCTGTGGGTCTCCCTGCAGACAGTAGCACATGAGAGAATAGTGTTGAAATATCAGTGGAGAGTGGGTCGGCCTACCGGTACACATGAGGACGAGATCAACTGTACATTCTCCACGTAGCATCAGACTCCGGGCAAATGCTCCCACGCGCATTACTCCCTTCAACCTCCCTGAATATACGTTACATCATCATTACATCACACACACACCAAAATCAGCAACACTCACTGTGTTTTTCATCGCGGGCAACTTCCTTGCCTTGTTCCTCACCCATCCTACACCAGTAAATATTTTAGTATTTTGTTCATAATTTTGTGATTGTTACTCACATTTTGCAGTTTTCATCAAGAATATCGTCAGAAATAGACTTCAGAGCTCCTTCAATGTCAGACACAGCTTGCTCAACAGCCTTTACCTGGAGAAATAGAGAGAGAGAGAGAGAAACTGGAAGACTTCACAGTACTGATGGAAATCTGCAGTGTTGTTAAATTTCAGACCAAACTTCTATATTTGTCCAAAACAACCTAAAGGTTGTACTTAAATGAATGTAAGGATGAAAAAAGAGAAGTGATTACTTCACTGTCCAGAGGGCAGATGGATCCATGTTTATTCATAACCAGACGATCGTCTCTAGGGTTTTACGAGGGTATGGAGGGTAGATCACGTATTATTCCTTTCTCTGTAGTCCTACTTATACAAAGAAGACAAGATAGAAATGGGAGGCGGGGATCCACTCAAACAGTGGGGGTGTGTGGTGGTGGAGGGAGGATGGGGGGGTATGGGGGAAATCACTTTCTGTTTTTAATTGATGGAAATCCCCTCCATCTGTCCCTGTTGGGTTATGTTTTTGGGGTGGTGGGTGTGGGGTGGGGTGTCATGAACTGTGCCCGCCCCGGTATTCCTCACTGTCATGAGTTAATTTTTGTTCAGATCTTATTATATTGGTAGTTGATAATGAGTTGTGATGGTTTTAACTCACTTACAAATTCTTCTAGTTATTCTGATGTGTCTTTTGGTTGCATTTCTCTCCTTTATAGGTGCTCCATCCTTTCATCTCTCAGCCTCCATCTCTCAGTTTCTTCCCATTTCCATCTTTTAAATCCGACACGAGCCCAAACACGTGATCTCTAATCTTGTTACTCTTAGAATTCTGAGAGATGACGCTACTTCTTCCCCCCACTCCCCCCCCTCCCTCACCCTTCCTGTTGTGTAGTATAGATTTTACCAGCTCACGATCAATGATGATACTACGAAGACCTGCGAGAAGCTGACAGACTCTCCAGATTTTATAGGTGGTAGCGGGAGTGGTTGGAGACGGAGATACTGATCAGGAGGGTATTGACTCACACAGTGAGCAGTGAGTGCTAAGACTTCCTATGTTTGAGTTCGACATTTTTCAGCTACCCATTCGTCTTGCCCAGTGGTGACTGTGTGAACCGTAACTTACCAGTCCTACGTTAGTATCCACCACCCCTCCCATACTCCGGACCTCTCATCTTCTCGTTCTTGCGTCGATTACTGAGTACAAGAAAAGACCAACCACTGACCCATACTCCATAGTAACCATACCGTTCAGAACAGAATTAGACCATCATGGCTCATCTCTAAAGCCTCAATTCAGATTTGCAAACTGTAGGCATCTTAGAGAGCACCGAACCTTTTGCTGGGCTCAACATAGAGATCAGGCTGGTAGAGTTTCTTGTAGTTGAGGCGGATGCCTGCGTCCCTTGGCGTGCGCCTTCTTGGCCCAGTCGTCGTTGAAGTAACAGTCACACATGGTGCACTTGTACATGGCGTGCGGGAACTTTGGGTCGTTGGTCACTGGCACCACAAACTGCTCACCTGCAGAGATGAGGCCAAAACATACACTGGTATATACTTAAATTCTCATAACCATACGTGCAATGCTAGCCAACTCACCAACTGGTTCAACATCAACTGCCTCTTCCCCAGCCCCTATTTCTCCCTCTCCACCCTCAGTCTTCACCTGCCCCCCCACAAGTGCTGTAGGCCCCACAACTGCTGTGGGCCCCCCGGGACAAGGGGGGTACAAACTGGGGGGTCCGCTGGATTTACCAGCGGCCCCCGTGGATGTCAGCTGCTGGCCTCCCACAAAGTTGATCCTGGGAGCACTGACCGCAACCTTCTTCCCGCCAACTGTGTTTGTGATTTCGGTCCCCTCGGGCAGTTTGATGTTGGGGATGGTCTTCCCCAGCTTACGGAACAGATTCAGGACCTGCGATACAATCAGAGTGAAACTGAAGTTAGACTGTTCCTTATGTAGTACTCTGTACCTTGGTATGACGAGAACCCCTGATGTGAGCCTCGTAAGAGTCGCTACTGGTGCACTGGATCTCGCAGAGAGGGCAGTAGTGAGGCCTGCTGGTGTAGTCGGTCTTCTCCCCTCCTCCCCCCTCACCTCCCGCTCCGTTGGCACCGCTCGCCTGCTGCTTGCTCAGGTTCTTCTTGTGAGCTTTCCCCTCCAGGTGGGTCTTGTACGTCTAGACACAAACATATTTCACATTGAGATAATTTAACCCTCTCCCCCCTCACCATGGAGCTGGCGCAGCTGATTTTGCACACCTCACAGAAGTACACGGCCTGGTTGTTAGGGTTGTACGGCCTCTTGTTCTGGAACTTTCCGGCTCCGCTCCCCACAGCCGTCTTCTGGGCTATATAGTGTGCAATCACCTTCTCCTGGGTCGCGTTGTAGCTGGCAGTGCTGGGGTAAGAGGCGGAGCTTGGGGTGTAGGGTGGAGTGGAGTACACGGACTTTACTCCGGGCTGTGTAGTTGTGTTTACTCCAGTACTAATTCCATACCTACACAGTGGAGAAAATAATTTCGTGTGCTAAATCTTATGCTGCATCAAAGAGATGCAGTGCAGCAATGACACACACACAGTCTCAGACCTGTTAGCAGTGGCTGCAGGAGAGTAGTACGGCGTGGAATAGGTGGTCGGGTACGCAACTGATGGTAGAGCCGCAACAATAGGACTGCTGCCATACCCCACCCCTTGGTGAGAGGAAGGAGGTCGTGGCAGTGGGTGTGGTCTTAGCAGCAGGGGCAGCAGAAGCAGTCGGGGTGTGTTGTTGGTAGTAGGACGAGAAGCTGGTTTGCTGTGCCGCCGTTTGCTGCTGTCCAGCCGGCTGTTGTTGGCCTCTGTACTGGTAGCCATAGTAACTGGAGGCCTGCTGAGCGGGGAGGTGTAAGAGGTCACGGAGGTCCCGGTTGCGCCAGCATTCTGACCGGAGTAGTAGCTTCCCTGGGCCTGGTTCACAGCTGGGGAGATAGGAAATAGAGACAGAGAGATATAGGCGAGATTGGAATAGGGACAGGGGGATTGAGTGAGGAAGGAGTACCTGGCTGCTGCTGTACTGGAGTAGTAGAGGACTTCTGCGGAGTGTAGGCCTGGGCCTGGTACGTCTGCTGGGCCGGAGGTCTCGCAGGCGTACCAGTCGTGCCGTAGCTCGGCATCTGGACTCCGTATCCCACGGCCCCAGGTGCATATCCGTATCCGTAGCCGTAGCTGTACTGTTGCTGTTGTTGCGCCATGCGGGTTCTAATTGGAGAGCACCAGCAGTCGACAAAATGGTAAACACCAAAAATCGGCTCACCACCAGAAAATGGCAGAGTACAGTAGACACAGTGTAGGACTTTCTTGTTCTTGTTGATCCCTCGGGCTCTCTTCCCGGCCAGATAACACCTTTCGATCTGCAATTAGCACGTGCGTCCAGAACGCATGCGCGCGTGCGAGCATATTTTGAACTTGAAATCAACTCGAGCGCACGTGCCCGATATGGAGAAGTTGCAGCAAGAACACTGTTTTCTGAAGATTTCACTGTAATATATACTTGATGTGCGTGCGTTTCTTTACCAACTTTTTTGGTCCTATATACGTGTTGCAGAAGGACTGAAAATGGAGGGGAGATTCCAGAAACCCCCACACAATTGAAGGCTCTGATAGTCCAGGCTCTTCAGACCCTCCATGGACAGGTAGGAGCTCTGAACACTCCGAGCAACTGAAGGTTGTGACACACAAATGTCACGTGTGTGCAATTTGGTGCATTGAGGGTTAATTAATCCCTCAGGTTGGAGCATCCATTGCCGTTGACATTCTCAGTTACCATATCCACGATGATGTCATAGGAGGCGGGGCAAGGTGGGGTTCAGCCATTATCAGAGCTCCGTACAGGTGGGCTGGAGAGTTAATCATGTGATCTGCTCTCCAAGTCACGTGACTTTCAGGGAGCAAGCAAAAGTGTGGAGTGCCCTAACAATGTGTGCAGGTCAAGACAATGTGTGCACTGTTGACAAGGTAAAGAAACTGTAGTATGTAGGTGTGGCTATGTGTCACATGACTGTCATGTGATCCACCAGGCATCCCCCAGCCTCATGTCTCTGGCAGTGAACAGTCGAGACTTTCAATTTCAGAACTGACTCACTTTAGAGCGAGGGACAAAAACAAAATGTCATGGAGTCCATCTGCTATATAGCTGAAGAACACAAAATTTTGAATGGACCGGGAAAATGATAACAACCACTGTTGTGTGCTGTATTGTGTGTTTTAAAACAGGTTTCGTACAGATCAATGTACAAGAGGTGGTATGATTGTGTTACACTGTGCTAGTGAGGAGTCAGAGGGTCTCAAATCACACTGTAGTTCTGATATCTTCTGATGTAGTACACGGCTCTGCATACTAGGGCCACTGTCAACAGGTTGAGCACTGCAGCTAACACTGATCCTCCCAGTGAACTGTCCACGGCTATCTTTGTCCTGCCCAGCAATACACCCACACAACCCTGTGACGGAGGAGGGGACAAGAATATTCTAGAAGGACAAATCATTTGTAATCACTTAGAGTCAAACTTAGACAAATACACTGTCCACAAGAATATCAGAGAGATAGAGACAAAGAGAGGCTCACTGTGTGATAGATCATGGAGGCACTGGAGGAGCAGTTGGGGCCGGAGGAGGACTTTGCCTTGCAGCAAGACTCGGGGGCTAGCTGATATTCTCCTGCCTCCTCCTTCTTCCATTTGGTATCGTTCCAGTCAATGTAGCTCTCCACTCCACAGCAATGGTGCTGGGGATATTATTAACCCACCTTTAATCAACCACATAATATTACAGAGTGTACATAACATTATTGTCGTGTGCACTTACATGGGACTGAAGGCTGTTTATTCTGTAGCTAATGGAAGAGTCTGTGTTGTTGTCGAACAGCTCCAAGTCATGTCTGATGCCACTACCAATGGCCGACTCCAGCTAAGAAAACATTAGCCAAGTAACATCTTGTCTTGCACTCCTTAACAACATTTCACACATTTAACAACAACAATGCTTGTTTGTAAACCTATTGATTGAACCAAAGGCAAAGCAAACCGTTACCACATGTGGCAGTTGGCTCTTTCCCTTAGCAACATGTGTTGGGTGATTGATTACCTTTCCAATGTATGCGAAGCTGAAGACAGTGGCTGAGCCAATCACCTCACCCGCTGTCACTGTCACCAACATCACACAGTACTACAGCACAGCAGAATTAACACAAACAGTATTACCCAAATTTGGTGCTTCATCAATCGCTATAATTATTATTTAGCTATATAGCTACAGTGAAACCACTTTTGTTCCCAAGGTGTCCCTTATTCAGAGGTTACCAGGATAAGAGCTGCCTTTGAGTCACGAGAGAGCCCGAAGGCCCCAGGGAAGAGGGAGAGAGCAGATACTAGAGCTGTCGCGGCTAGAACGAGAGCCGGGTAGTGGACGTATCTGCCTCCATTGTAGTGGACGGAGTAAGGTACTTGCGGAGCCAGCCAGAGGATGACACAAGACGTAACGCACACCGCCACCGTCACCTGCAGAAAGGACAAGAGATCGCGGCATTTTCTTCTCCTGCTATCTGCCTGGGCTTACAACGGTCGTGAGGATTATGAGGAAGAGGAGACGAGAGCTAGGAACAACACGAGCCCACCCCATGCCACGAGACACAGCTTAGATCCACACACACACACGGACTGCTGGCTTTGCTTCTCAGCTGTAGAGCAGGGGCAGTTAGCCACGCCCCCACAAAATTAGACCGCCGTTGCTGAAATACGCATGCGTGAGAGAATAGGGGTCCTGCAATTTTGATACACTGTACAGTATTGTACACTACAAAACCGTAGACTATGGCCATATTCCGGTGCCAGGCGGCGGAATGGACTGCAGACCGTCATGTGATTGAGGAGGTTTCTCGAGGAAGTGATTAGGTTCCATTCCAGGGTTTCCCCCCATTGGTCTTGGGGGGTAAGGCAAGCCCCCCTGTCGGAATGGGGGTCTGGGGAAATTCTGGTTTGACAAGGGGGGCATCCTCGGCTGGAATGAAGAGTGTGGTGGGAACGGCTGGCGGGGAGGGGGTCCAGAATTTGGATTACGAGGGCCAAATGGACCCCGTGGTCCCATGAAACGTTCCCCAGGTCTGAGAGGGCCGAGGGGGCGGAACCCCCCATCAAGTCTGGGGGGTCCACGAGCCCTGAATTGACTGTCAAACGGGGGTCCACGTGGTCTCATCATCATTAATCCTGGGGGTCTGCCCCCTCCATCAGGTGGGGGACGAGGTGGTCTCATCATCATACCTGGGGGTCTCCCAGTTCCCCCAGGTCCCAGCATTCGCAGCGGGGGTCGTGGAGTGAACCCTCCATTTGGTGGTCTTGGCCCATTTGGTCTAACAGAACCAGGCGGAGGGGGTCGAGGGGGTAAAGGACTCCCATCAGATCCCACGGTTTGAATCTGAGGGGTCTCCAACTTGGGCTGTTTGGCGGCACTCTCCGGAACCGTGTCTTGCTTTCTCTTTCTCTCCTGCAGACTCTTTGACAGCTGTGGAAATATCTCATCCAGCAGTGATGTGAGAGAGGACGTGATTTTGATGTTGGAGGCTGGACTCACAGTCGTCGTAGCTGCTGGTTTCTCCACTGATATTGCTGAACTGGGGCCAGGGGGAGAGAGGCAGCTGTGATGGAGCATCAACAGATGCCTTCTCTGTCTCAGGTTTTGTGAGAGAGGGAGAAGAAATGGAGGGCGAAGTGGCGAGAGGTGATTTCAATCCCTGAACGTTCTTTAGAATGTTCTGGAGCATCCCAGTGTCAACTCCTAATAGGAGACCTTTCTCGTTCACTATAGTGGGAGGTTGGTTCTGTTGATCGCTGACCACACCCAGTGACTCCGCCTGGGCGGGTTCCTCGGGGGAGCGAGTGGGTGAGCGGTACAGAGCTTTCATGATAGGGTTGGCTGGATTGAACTTTGGCCGTCCAGATTCCTCTGGGGTAGCAGGCGACATGTCCAGTTGAGGAGTGGGGGTGGTAACTGATTCATCGTCTTGATCCCCCGCCCCTCCTGCTCCGCGCCCGGGCTGGGTGGGAGGGGTGTGGTAGTGGGCGTGTACGGCCGATCCCCACTCTCCTCACTCTCGGCATATTCCTGCAACAGTACACTGCCCAGAGACTTCCTCCCGACCAGTGATTGAAGACGATCATCCAAACTTGACTTGGGCTCCTCCTCTCCTTGGAGGGGAGGTTGTGACTCTATTCGAGTAATCTGATTCCTGTCTCCCATGTGCCGTGCACCCACAGGAAGAGCATTTGGCTCCAGAGACAACGGCTGAGGCATTGAATCAGGTACCATAATTCTTGATCGCGGGGGACCCACATTGCCATGTAACATAGGGGGGACCACTAGACGTGGGCCGCCGAACGGATGACGAGGTGGGATCACAGTGGGAGGGGTCTCCAAGATTCCCTGTTGCCGTGGTGACATGTGTAGACCGGATGGAGGGAGAAACAAGGTCGTGAGAAACGCTGCGGAGGTCGTGACATGGCAGGTGAGAATTCCATCAGATAAGGCTGGGAAAATGGAACGTCAATTGGCTGAATGTTGACCATCATCCCCTGTCCAATCAGAGCATTGCCGGTGTTCATTAGTGCAGGGGCGGGGGTGACAATGGGCGGGGAGCTGAAGAGGGGAGGGGCAGAGTTAGTCGGCTGAAACACAGAGGAAGCAGGGATGGGGGCGGAGGAAGGCAGAACAACTCCCGTAGTTACAGAGCCTGGAGGAGTAAACAACTGGGGAGGAGTCGGGGCGAGAGGGGCTGAGGGAAGAGGAGGTGCCACTGTGTCCATAGCGTCCTCGTCACTGTCGATTTCCATGTCGCCAACCTCCGTCAGATCTTCCTTGCACGTGGGGTCAGAGGTGGCAGTCTGCTGGGCTCGCTCCAAGTCTTTCTGTCTGGCAGTCAGTTTCTGGCGACAGCCGTTCAGCTGTGCCATTAGGGTCTTGTACACCTGGAGTACAGTCACAGTCACAGCAATAAGGAGGGCCTTAACTTGAAGCTATAACACCAATAGTTAGCACGGCATGAAAAATTGTCTTTTAAAAGGATCGCAAAAGGTTTGATGTGAATGACAGTAGTGTGTTTCGGTCAAACCTTGAGGTCTTTGTGGACCTTCTCCAGTTGCCTTGCCTGCTGTACGAGGCAGGAGGCCAGCATGTTGGAGAGGTTGACCCTCTCGCTGACTTCAATTCCGAGACAATCAGAGTGGTCCTTGAGAGTGGCCCAGGCCTTGTCAAACTTCGTCGAGAACTCTTGCCCCTCGCTCTTGTCTGCAGACACACAGATAGCGTGGAGGGAGAGAGAGCATGTGAAACAATTTTTCTATCTCCGTATACATGAAACTCAATCCACAAAGAGAAGAAACATTAATAAACTGGCACTATCCATCCTGAATCGATTGATCTCGAAAATGAGATAGTACCTTTGAGAAGACTGAGACTGGAGGAATCCCACACATCCATTGGCAGACTGTCAACACTGGATTCTTTGACTCTCATTTCTCCCTGGAACTTGCTCAGCTCCGCACTGCATCCTCCAACAGAGACAGCTACAGTGACACAGTACAATGGGTGGGAGAATGTAGTGACATAGAAGAGTTGTTTGTTAACTAATACACCATCAAACCTTGAAATCAGGCATTGGCTCTGGAGGCGGCGTGTCACGCTCACTGCTGTCTCAGCAATTCTGAGGTAATCAAGAATACAAGCATCATCTCTCAAACCAGGTTGGAAAAGAGAGAGATACCTCTTCTTCTTTCCGACTGTCGCTACCACACAGTAGCTGGTCCAAGTGTTTCACAAAGGCTTGTCGTAGACCTTTCTCTCCCGCCATATTCTGAGCATTCCTCTCCACTGAGCTCTGGATCTTCTGCCCACTGATAACACACACACTGCACACACACCACACACACAACCACACACATCAACACTGGGTGGACTTCAGTATAAACATCCAATAAGGACACATCTCGACCTCTCTATAAAGACACTTGTTCTGAAAAGGAACACCTCAGAATGAAGTGTATTTCAGTGGACCCCTTGTGCATGGGGTTTCCGTACACTGGGTCTTGTGATCAATGACTCCCCAGATTTGGGGCACGACTTGCCGCAGGATCACGGAACAATCCCAAACATGTCGGCACTCTTCCTGCGGGCATGTTTTGGAGGATGTCGTTTCGCCAGGTACAGCAGCACCAACCGATGGTCAGCATCAGCTGCAGAACATGGTAACACACAAGCAGCAGAGGTTGCTCAGGGCGGGACCCATGACACTGTTATCAAGAAGGTGGTGCTGTGCCCATTGAGCAGGCAGGCAGCTGACACGCAGAGCAGGGCTCCAAAGTCTTTACACAGAACCATACGAAGGCGCCCTCAGATGCTCGACGAGGTGGGAAATACTAGCCAACAGGTGCCCAAAACGTTCTAGCGAACTACGAAGCTACCAAAGCTGAGCAGCATTTGTCGCGTTTTTGTCAGAGGCACGTTCTACGTGGTTTTCGTGTGAGAGACACCACACTGGTCGATAACTTGTAGGTCGCCAGACTGCGATCCCAGACGTCTGGCGAGGCTTCTTGGGGTCCGGAGATCCACAGTCGAGAGAGTGTCTCGATGCTCGCTGCTGAGCAGGCGGACAGTCGCTCATCTTTTACTGCAGCAGTGGCCACAGCTAGAAAGACGACATCTTCACGCTTCTTCTCATCGCACCAGACCAGAGGAAGAAAGAATGGTGGCTTTTGCACCACACGCGCAAAGCAGAGCGCACGTGATCTTTACACTGGGCGCCTAATAGGAGAAGGTGCGGGCTAGATCGTAGAATGGCTGGCAAATGGAGCTGCGATAGTGGCGAGTTAGCGCAGACCAGCCGCACGTAAGGTTCAAACACCCTCTGCGAGGGGAGAGTGGGTCTCTGGTCTCCCTCCCTCACCGCCTGGCCTGAAGCGTCCCTGGAGCGGCAGGTAGGAGACTACATAACTGGTCAGTCTCTCTCTAGTCTGACCTCGCAGGTGGAGAGCAAAGGATGAAGAGGGCGTTGAGGTAGTTCACATCGGCACGCGATCCTAAAAACCTCTCGGTGCCCCGGAGCTGTCTCGTGCACAATGGAGAGGTAATCAGCCTCTCCGTTTCCGGTCCATAGATGCCAGTTACACTCTGTACAGGTATAATCCTGGACTATCGACAGTACTTACGTCTTTCACCAATGCCGTCCCAGCACAGCTCACTGAGTGCTCCCGACCTGGCGTAAGCCCCTGTATTTATCAGAACTACGTGATTATCACGTGATGGTCAGGCCGGTGAGAGTGGAGAGAACATCAATCTAGCTGAGAGCCAGCCAGAAGCTCAGGCACGTTGTGCGAGCCCGATCATTTCAAAAAGTCTTGCTAGACATGTATATTCTTTTTTCCCTCTGCTCCTGCTGTCTTACAGTCGCGTGATGTGTTCCACACCGCGATCTTCTGACCTCACCTGCCAGCGATGGCGCTGCCAGAGAGATCAGACCGACGTCGTCGACGAATGGGCAATCAAGATCACGGAGGCTGGCCGGAGCTACCTGTGTGGTACAGGTCTTTGAGAACAGAGGGAAGGTAATGGGCTGCTCTCCATACCCGCCACCGCCCCACTGTCAGCGAGTCAGCTGCTCTCCTGCTGTTCCTATGGAAATGAGATGAAAATCTCTCTCTCGCTCCTGTCTGTAGATAGGCTCCAGCTTCATGCAAATGACATGGACGATCAGTAGAGTGAAGTAGAGGGGCCAAGGGAGCGAGGAGGTCATGTGTGTGCATTGGAACTTTCTTGAATGAAAACCGTAGACAATGGAGACTTTGCTCGAGACAGTATTTATGGTCCCTATACGTTCATGCACTGGCATTTGTATGCATATGCCTCAGTATTGCATAGTCTAGCCAGTACTAATTGTATGTGTCTCTTCACATGCACAGATGCCAACCAGTGAAGCTACTATGTAGGAACACGGTGTGCTACCACTGTCTGGCTGGACTACGCGTGCAGCTGGAGCTGAAGAAGAAGGTGCGAGAACGGAGCCAACGAACACTACCACACACTCTCTCTCTCTCTCTCTTTGCTCCAGAGAATTGCTGGTGGAGACTGACACTGGCTGGCAGTCGGTCCTTTCTGCGTGAGGTCAGACCCAACCTGACCCACCACATCTCGCCCCATGTACGCCCTCCTCTCTCTCCTCCACTGAATACCGCATCTCGCTCCGCCACAGGGCGCTGTGTGGCCATTTGAAACCTCTTCTGAGCCCCACGCACGACACTGTCCAGCGGTTTCTTTTCCAGACATGACTGACAGCAGAGAGAGAGATGGTAACACTAGCCTCAGCTCACATTTCTTCCTTCTCCTCCGCTCGCTGCTCGTTTCGCTCCCAGAGCACCTCTGAGTGGCCATGAAAGGCAGCTGCTGACGCAATACGACGACACTTGTACGAGTGTTCTTCCCCTACTCCATGGGTGTCGCAAGCGTAACCAGACCACACCCATTGCCGCACCCACCCATCAGTATACTCTCCTCATACGCAGTGGCTCCATGACTGGAGCTCAGCGTGATAAAGATTGCCCGTGAGTAGGTAGTCATCCTCTGCTGAGAAATTGACAAATGGAGTGCTAGGCCCCTAAATCCTCAGTACGAGTGATGAAAAGGGTTGTGAGTTATCCATTCACTCTTCAGTCACTGGCCAGCTGCAGTGCTCTACTCCTCCTACTACCGTCTACTTTAAACTTTTCGCTCGACTTTCCGACATCGGCTACGGTGTGTGTACTTGTCTCCCCTTGCCTCGTTACATCCAGCACAACTCTCTCACACCCACAGGTGAAGAAGTTCATGGTGGCTACGCAGATGCTGTGTCAGAGTCGAAACAGCGCGATCTGACAGCAGACAAGCCTGCTGCTGCTATAAACTGAGGAGGGAAACTCCCAGATCTCACTACAAACTCTCTCATAACTTTTTTATGTGGTTACACTGGAGCTAGTTGGCTTATTTATAGGTTGTGGGATTTCTCTTATAACAGGAAGTCATCATAAAAATGTGAATTTGATTGTGGGTGTAGAAAGAGCAAAGTGGGCAGATTTTTTTATTAAACTCTCGGCGCGCATTAAAATTTTTTTTTTGCACTACTAGCAATCCACGGGTAATACGAAAATTAACAGAGAGTTGAAAGGTTGGCACTTTTTCAACCTTATATATTTTTTGGGCCCTCAAACAGATTAAGGGGGCTTGGGTCT